TGAGATCCTATGCAAAGAACCGGCGGATTGCCGATCTATCGCAAAATAGCATTCCTGTATTCCAGATTGAAGAGTAGACAAGATACCAGTTTTCAAAATAATATGTTCTTTTGTCCTGGATTGGTATTCACAACAAGCACTGTCATTTGTGCCTCTATACGAAATAGCAGCGTAATCCGATCAGAGATTTAAAAGCGTGCGTTGCTGAATATGACGAAACAAAGAGCAGCTACCGAATTTCATAGAATTAAAAATGGAGTTTCTGAATTGTAACATTGACAAAAACCAAAGTGATAACATCCATTTACCATCTCCATTTAAGCTTGTTTACAATGTAGATTATGACAAGAACGTTCACGATTCACATACCTTGAGCACGCGGAAGCGTGCAGAATAAGTTCTTCTTACATGTAGCCTTACGAAACATTAAGTATACATGTATACATATTATTTATCTACTCAACTATTTATAATATTAAAACTGTTTTCCAAATTACGATTAAAAACTTCATCGTACTTGACCATTGGTCTGAAAACCATGTTAGTAAAAACTTGTTTCGTAATTTCTGTTTTGTAACTTTTGATTGTTTTGCTTTATTCGTCCTTGTTACTTAGCTACTGAGAGCGGTAATTACAAATATCGATTCCTAGCGAGCTCGCTGTTTTTAAACTAACAATATAATGAGAGATTGCATCGAAAAATTTAAACAATTCTCAAATGGAGTTAATATGTATTTAAAGCGAGGTATTTCAATGCTAACCTAGATTTTAGGAAGGTAAGGTGTGGGGGGGTCGACTCTCGCGTCGCGCAGTCCACGCGCTGAAATTAATATGAATAAAGTAAGACCAGGCGGAGAAAATTTGACACAGAACCGACAGTGGCAACTGCCCGATGGCGACAGACGGGGCGCCGTGTGTGATGTGATCGGATATAGTATATCCTATAGTGTAACACATTAGCACATTCTTTAGAATTGTCTAAGGATATTGATTGATCCTTAGGTGTATTGTACAGCTTTTGTAAGACCGTTATTTAATAGTAAATACCTAATTCATTTAATCTAGCAAAACAGTTTTCCCCGCTTCCACCGGTGACTCGCCTTAAAATACATTATTTTCTCTACACGCAAGTTATTAAAAAACCGTCAAGTACAATGTAACACTGAAATGATTCACATTTCAGTTATTCAGTGAGCCGGGAGGAAACTTTTTCAATATTACTTTTAATTGAACAGTCAGAATGCACTATAGTGAAGTTTTGTTTTCAAAACAATCCGATAGGTATGTCAGAAACCTTCAGTTGATTTCATATTGCTAGAGCAAAATTTTCCACATTGTTTTACGAAATTCTTTGTGAATGTCTATTACTCCGTTTGAAATGCGAAACAAAATCTTAATATTCTATCGTCGATGTTAGTTTTATAAAAGACAATAAGTATTACATTACGGTACTTACTGTGACTTTGCCTCGGGCTCCTTTGAGGCAATATGTTATTTTGAAGAATATTTGAGCCCACATTGAGTTTCTACGAAACAACAGCGTGAAAAGTTTTAACAATATTTGGCTAAAGTTCGTAACATTACCAGCTACCGAAGTTGTCTTGACGGCGCTCTCTGATACCTTTTATATTGCAGACGTTGTAAGACTAACTTTTGTTATGCTTTGGATGTTGTGCAAGTTTACATTCGTATAAAAAAATACATGATGAAGAGATAAATTCAAATCATACGAGAATTACATGGAATTATATGGAATACGAGTCACGCCGAAACGCAGAGAGCAATGCCCGGAGTCACCTTGCGAAACCAAAAAAGTAACGTTTAGATCCAAAATAGGACCGAAGTTAAAGATGTTATTGTATTCACGGCGAAGGAAAAGTGAGCAAAGGCGGGGCACATTGCAAGAATGGACGAGAGGCAAGCTGGACAAGGCAAGTACTTGAATGGAGACCCCGAGCGCATATCAGAGGGTGCGGCAGACCATCGCAGCGCTAGATGGGGACTTCCAACTACACGGAGGTCGGGACTGGATGAGTTGGGTATAAGTCGCCAAGAGTGGAAAACGAGTCAAGAGGCCTACATCCAAGATTGGATCAGAAAAAGACCACCATGATAATAATGATACGGAGCACCAGAAATGGTTAAGTGTTGTTACAGCGCCGTTCCGTTACACGAAAAGTTTTTTTTAGCTGTATTTGACGGTGGCGTTATGGTAGTTTTAGTAGCAGTAGAGATATGACAATTATTAATTTTATATCTGCACGTATCGGGCGCAATGGCAGTGCCCCACAGGTCTTTGCGATTTAAAGCTTCAATTATTTTGAGTAGGTGTCTCGCTTACCACCAGCCGTACAACTTGTTCGTCCCTCGTCACTTGAAATCACAAAAAGTCCATTGCATTGTGTAATCTGAAATTTATATATTAATTATATGACTCGTTCATTGTCCTAAATTAATAAATTAAAATAAGAATAAAACGATATAAAAGAAATCTTATTATAGGTTATATGCTAACTTCACAAATTTTGTACAAGAGGTTGTGAACTAATTTAAGAAAAAGTTTCTTATAAAGTAATTCATCGCCCTCACACTCGCACAGTGCAAGTACGTGATCATCCAATTCTATGAGGATTTTAACGTTTTAACTCTCCACTTTTTTATGTGCCATGAAATGTAATTACGTGAAGAATTCCCATGTAAGTCGCCGTTGGCATGTGGCCAGCGGTCTGCAGCAACGAACCGCGTAGAAGTTGGAAATTATCTACGTAGTAATGAAGAACTTGTATTTCAGTATTAAAAATACAAGCGTTATAAACTTCTGTGTTTATTTTCCACATATTTACTTTTATATTTCTATGAAAGGCATAATCTTTGCCTATTTCAGACTCTCGCCTCTCCCATGGCCTAAAAGATTAATTTCGAATTTTTAAATGGGAGACGCGGTATTATCCGGCAATGGATCAAGGATTGACGTTCAAAAACCGGTGCACAATACGTGCCGTTTTCGAGCAGGGCAGTCTTGTGCATTTGTGCTGGAAGCGACACGACATAATAATAATCATTATCATATTCCATTATTATATTATATTTCCTCTGATTTTCTTGTATCGACTTGTCCGATGAAAAAAATATAATTTTTTTTGTAAATCTCTCTGTTAAGTCTCTAATCAATTTATTTTTAAACAAAAAATACATATGTCACTAAGTTCCGTAGCTTGCTAAACCAAAATGTCGAATCTCATAATTACAGATAACTTCGTTCTACATGTTAGTGACATAGAAAGAGAACCGAAGTTTTTCACCATACGGGCTATGTGAAGTGGAATGAACCTATCATGTCCCATTTTACAAGGGTGACAAGTGCGGTAAACCTGCCGACACCAATACATTCACTTCACTGCACAACAGCGGTGACAACCCGGCAAATTGCCTTTAACATTCTAATTACAAATTTCACAGTTGTTCAATAGAAGCGAGAACACACACTAACTTAGGTTTTTCAAACGGAGAAATATGGTCTTTAGCCTTCTTCTGAATAAATGTGAGCAGAGCATGTAAAAAAACATTGTGGGCTCCACACACGGCTGTCGTAATATTTTTTTTATTTATATTTTATAATTTTTTGCGTCATAGTATTTTCTTGCATAAAATTCTGTACCAGTGTTGCTACCCGTTCGAGGCTTACAACACTGTTACTGCGCGGAAAAAGTTTATCTTAATCTTCTTTTAATGAAGTTACAGTCTCACGGCCAGGTAAGACTCTACAGCAAAACAAGTCCGCTCTACATTTCATTAAAAGTAAGTTAGGATGGTAATTAAAATGGCAACACTTTCAACGAAGACGCATTTTGAAATTAAATGTTGAGCAATGATTTTCTGATGGCTGGTGGTTACTTTTTGATAATTACAATTAATAATAGTAATTCTTTATTTCGGACCATGAAAATATCCATTATGTTAGTAAAGAACTTAGAAAAGGTTAGCAGAAAAACAGTACAATCAAAATTATTTTTTTAATTAAATAATAAATTGGGCTACGCCTTGACTTGCTCTTTCCAGTATTCCTGCTATAGCTTTTAGAATGCTGTTAGGACTTTACCTCACACGACTCAACAGCGAGACAATCTTTTTGCATATAATGGCCTGGAAGCTGTCCGTGTGCGCTACCAAACATACTCGATGCACAACACCAGGGTGGCAGTCTGATCGGCATTCTTAATGCATTATTATATAATGCCATATCTTTATTTTTTTACAATATTACATAATATGAAGTGAACTGTCCCACCAAAAAAATTTCGAACAATTAAAGAATCTAAAAAGATTATCTATCCTGAAACAAAGAAAAGAAAATTCCACAAAACATTCGGATGTAATATAAAAAGAAATGACGTTGCAAATGGAAGAAATATTGCTAGAAATGAAGCCTCAAAATGGCTCTAAGGACATAATGTCCGACCGCTGGAAGTGAAAAAAGACATAGTGATAGTGTAAAACCACGTAAAGCAAGTCTGGCTTTTGGGTAGGGGAGTATTAAAGGAGCCAGCGAGCTGTGGCTTCAGTGATTCAGATAAACGTTTCGGTCAGCAGCCATATATCACACCGATGACGCTTTCCAGAATAAGACCGCGCTCGCTTTTTCACTATATGGCCGATAAAGATGTCCAATGAAGTGTTCGTCTACTTGTTTCGGGGGCTTTTCAAAGGGAATAATAATTCTTCTCCTTTCTGTTCGCTCTGATGTATGGGGATCGATAACTTGAAATCTTTTAAGACGTATCGTGTAGAATTTGTTTTATATTCGTATATATTTGCACAATAGGTTGGTAAGCTGAATATATAAGACAATAAAAGCTAAAATAAGATATTTTAACATACAGGAAGCATTATTTCACGTTAAGCGTTCCCGTATAACGAATTGGCGTCTGTAATGTTTTATTATAATAATAATTAAAACTAATAATTTAGCTCGTGAACCTAAATTTATGTTTTTGTTTCAGGTGCAATTTTTGACCAAAATACAGAGGAAATTCAAAATGTGTTTAAATACGCTATGACCGTACACAATCAAAACATTAGCTCTCGTCGCCTCGAACTTCAGGCTTATGTCGATGTGATAAACACAGCCGACGCGTTCAAGCTCTCCAGACTCGGTGAGTACCACTAGAGAAAGCAAGCCACCAATGTCGACATTACAAGCAAAATAGGATTTGGTAATGTTACTAGAAAAGGTTTGATGTGTTGAAAATGCCATTACTAATATACTACGCAAGAGAATAACCAGTGGAATATTCGCGTCTATGATTCGTACATGATTAAAGATAACTTATGTAAGAAACAATAACATAGAGCCATGGTAACATTTTTTCCTATTATTATTTAGTATATATTATTAACGAATCGCACGAAGAGTTACGCGTCCCGTATTTATATGGCGACCGGTTATGAATTGGAAGTCTCTGCCTGCAGACTTATTTCCTGAACGCTATAACTTGTGTCTTTTCAAGGCGAGAGTAGATAGATATTACTTAGGTGTGCATGCTCCATAGTCGACCTCATCGTTACTTTCCATCAGGTGAGATGGCGGTCAAGCGCTTACTTGTATTTTATAAAAAAGATCAAAGCATCCGTAACGCAGACATGTTTTAATAGGGAAAAAAAAGAGAAAAGTACTGATTTCGAGTTTATAGAGTATTAAGTAATATGAAAAAGAACCCGAAATCAGTCGATGAAATTGTGGTAGTTGTACCTACCACAATTTCATCGACTGATAGTACAACGAACTTTATTGCGGTCACGCCGCGCGGCCGCCGCGCATTTCATGTCATGGCAAAATATTCTGTATTTATTTATCTTTTACATTGTAACTTACATAAGCGTCCCGGGCGCGCAGGTGAGGCTTGCTTGTCTTTGGTCTACGCGGCGGCCGAGCGGCGTCCGCGCGGTTGTATTGTTCCGAGGAATTTAAATGTTGTAGCCATTGACTTACAAATAAATGGACGACGGGTCTAATACAAAAACCACGAAAAAAAAGTCCCAAGTCAACCTATTCGAAATTTAAATTGTAATGTCATCGCAGTATCGCGCTGTCAGTAGAACAAATGAAGACTAAAGCGGAGTGTCGCGCTCTGTATACGATTTTAGCGCCTTACAAGTGCGGACACTTTTTAGCGCGGACCCGACGTCCATATAATTGTAAGTCAATGGTTGTAGCCTAGTAAATAGATTTAAAATTCGCCACTAATATACGTGAAAGCGCGGTAACTGGGCGGTCGCTGCGTGGCGGCCGCGCGAAATGTTTCGCTACGTGTAATTGGCCGCTAAAGCAGGACGGGTTGCTTTGCTGCGCTGCGGCTGCCGCTTTCAGATCAGCAGCGAAATAACATAGCAATAATTGTACAAATAATCGTAACCTGTACCTAAAAGAACTGGAACGTGTATCAGGATCGTTTCAGCAATTCAACCGTAGCTCCTATTTTGCACCTATTTTGAGTTAATATTCCTTTTGTTAACGTATATGTATTATGTATTTGTGGTCTATGATGTGACTTAACTTCGTTATAATTAATATTACAATATGAAGGCAAATTATTCATTCACGCTGTGATCAGAGCAAGTGAATACACTTGGTCTGTGTTCAATTCAAATGCAAATTTATTTACATTAAAATATTTATCGCTAATGAGTTTTCAGCGACGTTGTAATAAATGTTGTAAACTTTTATGGGTTCATCGCCATTAAGAGCAGTTTAATTTACATTAGTAAGTTAATTAGGAGAGCACTTTAGCGATCAATACAAACATAAAATATTCGCATTAATAATTATTTACGTTACTATTGTTAGTGTGATAGTGAGAGTCTATGTGTATCAGCAGGTGCTAAGAGATAGAACTAAATATAAATTACATTTTGAATACCTTATCAAATAGTGTCAGTGTCTTTGCAGTGAAATTAAAGCTGTACGCCAGGCAGTGCCATTGTTTTGGCAGAGGAGAAGAGTCTTAAAGCAAGTGTCATCAGTAGATAGCGTGACCAGAATATTGTACGAGTGCCAGTTTGTCTCATCTCTTTGATCGGTATTGGAGCGAGTGCGGACCCTCAAAGAATTTAAATTTGGTAGCACGAACATCCTCAGTTTTCAGCAAGGGAATACGAAATAGTAGAATCCTTATTTGCAGGCGGAATGTTCAAATAAAATCTAAGAATTGTTTGTACCTATAGTGTGTTTGAAATATTATAAATATGTAGGTTTTTTCTGTGCCCCAATATTAACAACTTATTCTTAGCTTGTGTCGGGTTCATTTGTTTTGATCGTAAGATTCAACTGTTGCATGACTGTGTTGTCAACTATAATGATAAATGCACATTTAATTAGCGCTATATACAATTTTTTTTCCATATTATTTAAACTGGAGAAAAATAGGGTCTACGACGGAACGAGCTTGCCCAGAATTTATTATCGAGTCAAAGAGTGAAACGGAATTTTGAAATTTGTGTTGGAAAATTGTATACATTTTATGATCCTATTAAAATGAAACTTGGTGCACACACTGTTCAACATAAATAACAAAAAATGGTAATTATTTCAAAGACTGGAGACTGTATGTGTTGAAATACATAACGCTTAAGAAGTTTGCTGTACCCAAAAGCACACATTTATTGTTGATACAATATATGTATAATTCAGATGGACCCGCTAAGTGCGATTTGGACTGTTTGCATGAGAGTCTGAATTTTTGTATAACCTCATTGGTCCAAAGAATGTCACTTTCGTTCTAGCCTTAACACGAAATTGGCTGTGCTGATTTGTTACTTTTTATCTTTGCTATTTGGAATTATCTTTCAATTTTTGGAGACATGTCGTTTGGTTAAAAATGTACAAATCATATTTTTTCATACCTTATATAGAGCTTACTCTCAGATTAATTCCGGTCATAGACCTCTTACCATAAGAAAAACTCAATCATGAACCTCCAAGTGAATTAACTTTTATGAATTTTGTTCTGTTCTCTGTGAATAAACAATTGTACGTAATAAACACATTTGTAATTAGTAAAGGAATATCGATAGTTTCTCGCGCACCCCTAAATATTTTTTAATTACCACGGACACTCTGGACCATCTCATAGACTGCCAGGTGTCCGTATGTACCACTTTTGTAAACTTGGTTTTAAATTCTGTCATATATTATTAGAAAATAAATCCCGTATACTTTTAAAATCTTCTTATTATTTATAAAATCATTGTTATGTAATTATAATGAGCTCCGGGCTCTTCCATTTCACAAGGAGATCAAGACAATGTATTGCCATACTAAGTTCCAAGCTTTTAAAAGTCTGACATTTCTTGAGAACTATGTCTAAAACAGACGGACGGACAGCCGCATGATTGATATTCTATGATCTTTGATATGATTACATGAGGGTTATGTTTTTCATTTTAAGGTCGGAACCCTAGAAACATTGCTCGTTTTGCGCAAAGATGGACAAGTGAGATAGGGGCACAGCTCATGGAAGCCTCCACATTTATTATCACAATGTTAACGCTATCACGGGGATCATCTTTTTCATTGTGCGACAGTCTCCCGCTTATCTTGTTTTGTTGACTGAAAAATATGTCTGTACAGATAGAAATACCAACATATTTTGTCTCTTGGAAGATGAGAATAATAAGTATAAAAATACAGACTCGGAAATTAAATGAGAAACAAAAGCAAATTGCCCGTGAAAGAGGATGAGCGGCGACCGCAGACGCCCAAGCCAACGGGCGCTCTAATGACGTGCACTTTCCGGCCTCGTGCGCCCCTTGAAGTTGGACGTTGTTTACAAAATCTTTTCGAGAGGACTCATGAAAGTATCATATGTCATCACGTTGTCCCATTTATACGTCTCACTTCTGGGTACGGTTCTCCTCTCAGGCGAGGGTTTCGGCCATAGACCGAGTGAGCTGTCCAAATGCGGGTTGGGGACTTCACACGTTTTCCGCTTCTGTCTGACGCTTGTGAACCTTCTTTGACACGCACGTATCATCACAATATTTTCCTTCACCGAATAGATCAAATTTCGCACATACATTCCGAGAAACTCAGAGATGCGAGCCCGGATTCGAACCAAGGACCTCTGCTTGAGAGGCGGTATGTCAAGCCGTTACGGCTGCCACAGCTTTATTTCGACTACTCCCACTATAATAAAGCAACATGCGATCATACATCATACGTGCTTTTATCGCTTAAACATAATACGAACTACATGAAACAATTTATGTGTATGTGAAACACTGCCTGTCAAGTTGTCATTATGGCCCTATCACACAAGGATGCGATTTGTTTTGAGGTAATTTGGTAACAGCGGCTCATCAAGTATATAACCAGAAATAGAGGCGAAATAGGGGCCATCCATCAATAGCAACTCATCAGGTAAATGGGCCTTTTATCACTTTTAAATATCAACTCTCGTTTGCGCTGAAATCACAAATTAGAAAGCTGAAATAGTACAGTCCCAACAACTGACCTTAACACTAAGGACGTACACATGTCTCCGTATGTTAGGAAAATATTATGTATTTATTGTAATAAAGATAATATCTCTAACAATGGGGGGCTGTTCTATTCGGTGGTGTGGGAAAAACAACAACATCTAATTACAAAACAAACGGAATCACATTGAAGTGAAACAATTGATGAAACCCGTCAATTGTTTCGAATTCGGGCTGGCCAATCGGAGCGCAGTTGTCACCGTAATGATTTGGCAATATAGTTTTCAAACAAACTAATGATATTTCGTCTCTATTTCTGGTTATATTCTCGATGTAGCAGTTACTTCTTTAAATTAAAACACTTTCAATCTGTCTCTGAAAAAGGTTTGTAAATATAACGATGAGTGCATTTTCATCGAAACTATTATAATGTTTGTGGAGAAAAATTAATTCTTTATTATTATTATTAAAACTACACTTACCTAATTTATATACTATAATTTGCCACATAGTACCACATCCCTATATTGCTTTTTAATCTGAAAGATTGCTTCTAGCCTATAATACATTTTTCCTCAATTTTTATTATACGATTGCTTTTAAAAAAATATTTCCTGGAATTGAGTAGTCGTCTACCGAGTAATCGAATTAAGTTTATAGCAATCTATTAGAAATCAGAAGCCTGTGAGGTACTCACTACGTATCTCTTCGGAAGACAAGGACAGCTTACATGTATATTAAGATAATTCAAGATTTAGTGTAATAAATTACGTATGTTGCGTTGTTGGGGTATAATCCAGTAAGTACTAAATGCCATGCTATACCATCTGTGATATGCAAATTATTATTTGATTAAGCGAGCCTTTGTCTAATAAATAATGGAGAGCGTTTCCATCAATGCATCATTTCAATTTCGAGTCCAATATTAATTCCCATGGATGAGATGCGACTATGAAATACCTATGAAGTGTATGAAACACTTAATAATGAAATTGGTAAATAATTCATATTTCAATGGAATAGCGTTTGTCAATATTTGTATCATCCCCATTCAATGTACGAGAATAAATTTTTGCTTTTTTGTTTTAATATTGTTTTTATTTTTTTATTTTTTAACGCATAATCACATAGCCCCGCACTAGGAAAACACTGTATCGCGGGTGCCATGGACACACGCATGCACAACCACAAATTACACCTAAATTCATGAGAGAAATAAATGTAAGCCATACAAATATTTCTTCCGGCCCGGGAAACGAACCCGGGACCTCTGCGTGGCATAGCAGCATGGTAACCGTTCGGCCACCGAAGTAGTTGTAGTGTTGTGTAGTGTAAATATTAGACTACATCATAGTAGCTAATAATAACAAAAGCGATAAGTATCGACTGTGGGCTAGCAATCAGTACTATTACAATTGTAGGCAGGCAGGGTGGAGGCGGCTAGTGCAGTGAGGATTCCATCGCTGCACTAGGTTCCTTCGCGTTTGGATACCACTTTCCACTTAACATCAGGTGGAGTGGAGTCATTTGCCTGTCAGGTATAAAAAAAAAAAAAAAAAATTTTGACAACTTTACAGGTGAAGAAAAAAATTGATTGCGTTATTTATATAGCATCTGGTTTATTAAATAAAAATACGAAGTTTTTAAATATTTTTATTACACATGTATGTACGTACTACGTATTTTTACTTAATAAATCAGATGCTATATAAATCATTTTTTCTTCATCCTGTAAAGTTGTCAAAATCGAGATAGTACCGGTTGCCAGTTCACATTCGTTATGTTACGGAAATCAGAAACCACGATGGTACCACAAACACCTAGACTCAAGACAATATAGAAAAGTTAGTTTCCACATTGACCTGGCCGGGGATCGAACTCGAGACCATGGTACCATGAAATCTGATGTGCAAACCCCACTCGACCACGGAGTTCGCAGTCTAACCAAGATGGTTAAGGCGAAACGGTATTGCAGTTGCGTAGGCTGCGAAGGGTGTGAGGTAGACGCGGAGAATTTCATGGTACGATATTTAAATATTTGCCTTTTGGAAATAAAATACTCTATTATTGTAAAATAAGCTCATTGTCTCTTGATATATTTGTTATGAACCACTGGCGAGAACATTTCAGTGATATATCTGTAACAACAACCTAATGAAGCCGATTTTTTTTGTATCTGTGAACGTAGTAGAAAATTATAATTTAACGGAATATTGTAATTTTTTATTGAATTTTAGTCAATCATGTTACAGGTCCCTTAGTTCACTACTGGTATCTTTTGTTTTTGTTATAAATTATAAACAAGTAGAACTCGTATTTTATAATTTCGAAAAGCAATTTTGCATGTGGTCGAAATACGTCAAAACTCTATTCTGGGTCTCATTTCTCCTTAAAACGTTGTTATAGTGTAATTCTTCCACCGTGGTTAGGAATACTCGTATAGCCATTAGAAAAACCTACTCGGGCCGCTTTATATGAATTCATTTTCAATATTACACGAAGACGGCAGCACACCTCTAATTGAGTAATTGCACTCTAACGCAATTACCTTAAAAGCCTGTCAGTGGAGCTAAATTTAATGAACTTGAAAATAAAGTGAATCATCTTATTTAATCCGTCTTCGCCTTCAGTTTTATTTTTTTATATTTCAAAGCCATGGACTTTAATTTTGTTTAAAACCGATTAGTTGTTTAATTGAGTTAGTTTGGTTAGTTAACTCTTAATTCGTAAAGATTTTCTAGATTGTTCTTTACATATTACGCTCTTGGCTTCCCATTGGTCTCTGCCTACGACTATGGACATTGCAGAAACCTGTATTGCTTCACTTAACATCGCTCTTTTCTTAAGTTTTCTTATTCTTCTTACTACGCACTCCAGACTTTTTAAGAACAATGTTGATTTGATCAGAAAACGTGCTTCGCGGCCGTTATCTTCCAGTATTCCTTCCTACGTTAGCTCCTTAAATGTACTTATTTCGTTAATTTACATTTAGTCAGCCGTTATATTATTTGTATTTGTGCTCTGAAAGCAACAATTCCGCAACGTATTTATAATGACCGTCTAGTAATTTGCATTGCCCTTTTGTGATAAAACACGATACGTGTATTATAAAAGTTAGAAATAAAGGGAGAAACGTTATACTGGCTAAAACAATATAATATTTTGTTTCTAAACTATTACTTAACTTCTAACTTTTTCATTGGTACAGTGTGCAACCAATTTGCCCGCGGAGTGTTCGCCATGCTGGGTGCGGTCACGCCGGAGTCGTTCGACACCCTACATTCCTACACCAACACCTTTCAAATGCCTTTCGTTACTCCGTGGTTTCCTGAAAAGGTGAGTTGTAGAATTTTTATGCTTGAATATTGTACTTTGGTATTTTGTAAAAAATATTCGTTATTAACAACACTACACAGTAACATTATACGATGCTGTGGGAAGACTAAGCCTTAAAGCTCTCCCTCGATACACTTATTAATTTAATAATATATGGTATCTACCAGTTCAATATTAATTCAATTATATTAATATTCTGAAATAAATACTCTGAATATCCATTTCATTTCATAATGTATTAAAATTATTTATAAATTTAATTAGTTCATGAATGGTTCATATGTTATGACGTTATCATGGACAGTCCAGAGAAGCTTTTATGTAAATTGGTTTGAGTGTTGCGCTCGTTCTTATTTGTGAATGAAAGCAGAAATAAAGCATATCTAACATTACGCAGGCAACACATGAACACAGGTGTTAACATTCATAAAAATATATGTAACCGTTTAAGTAGAGAGGTAAACGTATGGTAAATTGACAAGCAAGCGGCAAGAGACGCTGAAATTTTGATTTGTCTTATACGTAATATCACTTTACACTCTCAGCTAATAAACTAAGTGCATAGCTATCGAATAAAAAGTATAGCATGAGAAAAAATTCGTTAAAACACTTTTTTTCGTGACAAACGCCAACGAAGTCCGGCGGTTTGATGAATATAAATGGACGCTAGGAAAGTCTTCCCAAAGGAGTGTCTGTTGTATTTGCTGACATTCATTACTCTGATTCCATTCTGTGTTAAAATTGACGAAAACGATTTGTAAAGATTAACGCCTTGGATCTATATTCACACTTTATTTAACGTATAATTATTAATATCTAGAATTTTATTCCAATGTTATATTAAAAAAGATTTTCGTTTATCAAATCTATCTCTCAATATTTTTATACTTTGATATTATTTTCTTGCGACTCCAGAGCCTCTCACGTAGGAGACTAACATTCTCTCAGCTAGGCTATCACTGTTATTGTCAACATATATTATTTTATCTAGGTCATACCTCCCTCATCGGGGCTTATCGACCATGCAGTAAGCATGAGGCCTGATTACCACAAAGCCATCGTTGATACTATTGTGCACTATGGATGGACGGAAATTATCTTCATGTACGACTCTCATGATGGTAAGTAAGTCGTCCATAGATACATCGTCTTGATTAGTCTTCGGATACCATAAAGATGTTACATAACAAAAAAAAAATCATTAGAATTTATAAGTATCGCATTTCTGGTCAGGGGTTTTCCCTTTCTTTTTCCACTCCTTCGCATTACGGATATAACGTTTACAACCCCTTTTAAACTATCCGCTCCTTGGTCATCCGAGCTTTCTCCCCATCTTATTGTGTAATAATACTGAATAGTATAAAATTATGCCAGACAATCGCGCTGGACAAAAACACCAAAGTCTTCTAATAAATGAAACAATACCTAGATTTTTTCCTCGTGCCTGAGATAACAGAACCGAGGAGGTTGTTCTTCGGATTAACTTTTTAATATCAACGAATATTAAGATAAAGAGGGGACAGCGAACGGGGTGAACGCTGAAGTCGAGCCGGCTTACTACATTCTCTTTATCGTTTTGCTTTACAACAGAAATGGTGGTTTTATAAATCGTAAATTGTACCGCTCGCCTGGATTACAGCGGAGCTGACTCCTCCGATAATAAAATGTCGACACGAAAGAGATTGTGGCTGAAACCGGGGGCTGCCGCTAATAGTCTCTGCAGCCGCTTTAACGGGGTGCTATCACCAATGGAATGACGCCAGATTTATTTTTAATCCGCTTCAATATTTTATTTTACTTTTTTGTATTAATTAATGTTAAATCGAAATTCGAAATTTTTCTCTCCTTGTAATTACCACATTTGAATGGTGCATAACAATGTTTTTACTTTAGGTAACTTGGGATCGTTGAAAAAAAAATCCAAGACTATGTTAGAAGCAAATTCAATTTAAAGTAATGTAATAGATCTTTATTACAAAGTCCCAGAGCTTTCGCACTAGGTTTAAAAATAATATTTATAGTGCAGGAGGTGAACACCTCATTCGCGCCCTGCAATCGTGTACGTGGGAGTTATGAAACTTGTTTCGATTTATAAGCTACACGTTATCTAACATCTACCAGTATTAACCTATCGACTTTCCCGTCAGGACTATCCGCCAAACCCCGAGTCTGAAAAGAGTTTATAATAACAAAGTAAATGAAAAAGTTAATCCACTGAGTTATTGTCTTATTATCTTTCGGTGGATGTATTTATTGTATTAATATTGCCGTTACAGTTATTTAGTTTTAAAGATTTACTTACTACTTCTGTATATGCATCCAAGTTATTGAAGCAATACTATATTTATTTCTAATAATCGTAATTTCTAATGATTGTTGTTTGATATTTGAAAAAAGATTTTTCAAATGGTTGCACTTATTATTATACAGCGCGGTTTGTGTCCATTTTCTCTTCGCGCTCCCGACTCGCCAGTAAAGTTTTACGTGTTCTTGCAGAATTGCAAGGCTTCCTTGGTACTAAAATTGCATTAAATGATATTACTGTTCTTTCTTTTAACAACAGCTGCTTATGATCATAACCAAATTTTAATTTGAATAGAATAAATATTCATTGGCTCAGTCAGTATAATAATAATTAGTTTTATATTTTCTCACCACAATATAGGCACAATAACAAGCACTATACATAAAAAAAAAGAAAAAGAAAGAATTATATTGTGGGAGACTGGTGCCTAAACTAGACGTATTTCAGGTTTCAGGTCACCAGGACTCCACCCCTTGGAAAATACAAATTTGTAACTTAGAATTATGTACTTGTAAATTAAGAATTGCGATTACTAAATTATCATTGCGTGCATGCGTGCATGCGTGCGTGCGTGCGTGCGTGCGTGCGTGCGTGCGCGTGTGTGTGTGTGTAATGAAGGTGGGTGATTGTTGTGCATGTAATTATGTGGGAGGATGTGAGTGTGCGATAACGATGAAACTGAAATATGATTAGACAAGTAATGGTGTGCTGGTAAGGCGATCGAGTATGAATGTGTTCGAAATTATATAAATCAAGTTTATATTAATTAAATTAAGATAAAGTTTAGATTGAAACTATTAACTGTGCGGAAACAATTTTGTTCTACATCTTATACTAATCCATAGGTTGTTGTTGTAATCTCATTTTCAGATACATTTATAATAATAATAATAAATTATGAAAGATGTGAGAGTCTAAAATAAATATAATAATAATAATAACGCACACACTCAACATAACCCCGCACTAGGGAGACGTTGTAATGCGGGTGCCATGGACACACACATAGAAAATCACAAATTACACCCAAACTCACAATATATATACAAATATTTCTCCCGGTCCGGGAGACAACCTGGCATGTCTGTGTGGCAGTCCGTCATGGTAACCGTTTGGCCACTGAGGCATTTAGGGTCGTATTCCAGAACTGTACTCAATACTCAAGTCAGGATTTGAGCAGACTTGAGTATGATTTCAAGCACTGGAAATACGACTCTAATGGCAAGGACTTGAGTATGATTTTCAGTGCTCACTACAATACTCAAGTCATGACTTGAGCATTGAGTAGAGTTCTGAAATACGACTCTTAGACTAGTTAGATTTGACTTCTTAGAACGTTCAAATCAACTCTGGACGTTAGCTAAAGATTTGTTGGGACGTACAATATATTTGTGCTTGTGAATGATTTTTGTTTCCCGACAAAAAGTAATCTTTTTTTCAACGTAGATGATTTTTCGGATTTTACATTATGTAATCCTAAACAAACGTAACTATGTACGTGTTGTTATATTATATTGATATCACAATTGACAAACACACAACGTGAAAAGTCAGACACTAATTCCAATAACTACATTAGGGTAAAATTTAGCTTGGTTTCAATAAATACATAGTTTCTTACTATGCGACTTAATAGTTATATTAGCCTTTTAGATCATGAGATAAAATGATGATAAATGATGCTACCTAAAGACCGTGGTGTAGTCGAGATATATTGGGAAAAATCAATCAGAAAAAGAGGGTTCAGAGGTTTAGGGCAAATGTAAAGAAATTTTCCTTTATGAACGTGCGATAAGATGGGTCTAGAGATTGTGTTTGTAAGGTAAACACAAAACAAACATCAAAGGGTAAGTTTGAGTGTCTTTGTATGTTTTAACATTTAAAAAGCCCCGTAGAATGAGGTCATTATAGGAATAATTTCACATGACATGCCAAAATCTGGAAAAATTCAACTACAATTTTCTTGACCACGTTTCAAAACATTTCCTATTCAAGAGTAGAAGATCAAATTCCATACGACTCGGATGCACATCGAGATGATAATATCTTTAGATTCAATTTATTCAACGTTGGTTGTGGCGGAGACCGCGCGTCGCGTCTATCCAGTTGCACGTCACTGGAAAATATATGCGGTTCTTCGAGAATTCTAGTAAATGCATTTAAGATCTACTTGAGAGTAAAGTCGACGAACATGCGATTTCATCTTCCGTCCCTATCACCTGACGCACTTTATATGATGTATCCGTTCAATTAAAACGCAAACATTCACTTCGATATGCATAACAATCTAACAATCGACAACAAGCATAGGCTATAGGAAATGCAGTAAATGGTACGTAAAGTTTATCACGTTCGACATCCCACATCCCACAGCATAGTTTTATTTACATAATAAAAAATAAAAGAAAGAATATTGTTTTGAGTAGCGCACTCAGCAAAACCACAACGTCAGAATGTGAATTTATAGCAAATAACAGAGGAATTGATATTTATGCAGTGCCGTAAATTGCGCAGAGAAGAGAGACCTCGACTTGAGTGGTTCGTAACGTGCCCCCAAAATAAATAACCGACGCAAATGCTCGCGGTCTTAACTGGCTTAAACGGCACTCCGTTTTGATTATGCTACGTACACAAAGTACTACAAGTGATGTTAATAATTTCCCAGTAATAAAACTTATCAGTAACTAAGCCTCGTAGACGTTGCGTCTGTCAATTAATAATGTCTATCTACGACTGTTCAATCCGTTTATACAAATATGAACTAACCAACGTAATAATAGAAAGTTAGATGCGTAAGACGATTCTTCACGAGATTTCATACTTATCTTTTATTGTTACTGGTTAAATAAAATGAGGTGGCATTATTTACTTTGCGTTAATGTGGTTAATTTGAGGCTTCAGGGTCTGCCCTGGCTTTAGGACCATCGAAGAAGTTGTATTACTTCTAACTCGTAAACAATAATGAATATTAATGGCGTTTACTGCTGGAGTGGAAAACGAAATTGAACTAAGTTTTCAGTAAGCTAACTTCGACAAACAAGTAAGAAGCAACTTTTAATCATTAACTCATTTAACATTTATGTGGGCCGTTCATCGCTAATTGATGTATATTTATACTTTGCATATTTTTACGATCGGTTGAAACTGTCTGATTGAGAACAACTTCACATTTTTAGATTTTAAAGTGTTTGTTAGACAATAAGTTCAAATATATATTGGTAAGGTACAATAAAAGCTTAAATACTAGAAAGTAAAATTAGGATTGATTTATGTGAATAAAAGTGTGTCCCTGCGGCATGGTGCCCAAGATGCTGGCAGCGTTTCCTCTTTGTATGGCTATGCTAATGCATTGGACAAGGCAGCTTAGGCCCTTACTTTCCCAGACAATCTATTAATTTTTGTAATAAAATTTTGTTCAGATGACGGGTACCGGGACCTCACGGGCCAAGGATTCCCACTCCAAAGGCTGTAAATAGGTAGTCGGAGCCGAGGTCCTGGTGAGCAGGCGGAAAGAATGTAAAGCACATTCTTTTCGCCTGCTCAACTACGGATCCAGCTGGCTGGTGTACTAAAGATGGGAAGGGGCAATCCACACACGTAGCGTCCCACACCAGTGCCCGGCCCGTACTCCAAGGGATGAGAGTCATTCGGTTCGGGCCATCAGCTCGCGACACCCCGCTTGGCTCGAGCATAGTGGACACGTTAACCGTGGCGAAAGCGGATTGTGCCGTTGATTATATTTTTAATATACTCACAAAATTATGGTTTAAAATAAATCACGGGCTAATCTCAGTTTCACGTGTCGCCTACCGGCTG